GAGTTCGGTGGTTACGATGGGAGAAATGTTTGTTGATGCAAACCCAGCATCAGTGTAGTGCATCACTCAGTCAACACCATCACTACTGTCAAGCATGGTAGGGACAATATGGTAGAGACTATAGTTCTTCTTCTCATCAGCAGGGACTGGAAAGATTGTCTAAATTCATGGGAAGATATTTAGAAGATAGCAAAACATTGACAAAACTCTCCTTTCAAGCAAGACAGTGAACCAAAGCACCAAAGCACAAGTCCAACACTACACTAGAAAGTCTAAAGAATAAAAAAACAATCCTCAATTGGCCTGTCAAAGACCTGGCTCGAATCCTATTGAATCTATGAATTGGCTTCATTACTCTGCTCTCCTCCCCACTGATAGCTGAAGTGTGGTGAGCGTTCTGGCGCACTATGGCTGCCGTCGCATCATCCAGGTGGTGGTGGAGGGGATCCCCATTACCTGTAAAGCTCTTTGAGTAGAGTGTCTAGAAAAGGGCTGTATAAGTGTAAGCAATTATTATTAATTATTATTATTATTATTGCAAATCTGTGGAAAAACTTGACTGAATAAACTGTAGTACATCTGCAATCCCCAGGCAACTGTAAGATAGCCCTATATGATAGCCTGAGCAAATCTGCCTGGAAGAACTGGCACACACAGCACCCTGCCAAAGTGCAAAGTTGGTGGATTTACCCAAAACATCTTGCAACTGCAACTGCTGCTTGAATTCACAGGTCTGGATACTGAGGCATTCAACTTATTTCAGTTTTTTTTCTCTTTAGGTTTTACTGACATTTACTGTGACTTCTAACCTTAGAAGCGATCAGTTTGAGCGTTCAGTTTTTGAATAAAATATTAAGTTTAAGAAATGCATCCATCCCTTTATCTACAGTATCCATTTTCTAACCACTTAATCCTAATCAGGGCGGAGCAGTGGCAATGTGGCCGGAAGGTTGCTGGTTCAAATCCTGCGGCTGGCAGAGGAATCCTACTCCGTTGGGCCCCTGAGCAAGTCCCTTAACCCCAACTGCTCCAGGGGTGCTGTACAATAGCTGACCCTGCGCTCTGACCCCAAGCTTCTCTCCCTGTCTGTGTCTGTGTCTGTGTCTGTGTCTCATGGAGAGCAAGCTGGGGTATGCAAAAAAAGATGAATTCCTAATGCAAATAATTGTATATGGCTAACAAAGTGATCTTATCCGTTGTAGGGGAGCTGGAACCTGTCCCAGCAAGCAATGGGTGCAAGGAGGGATACACCCTGCATGACATGCCAGTCGATCACAGCATGTACAGTGTAAACATTATTTTGTAATTTCACATAATGGGACAGAAAGGTTCTGAAAACTTTTTCAAGGCACTGTATGTAATATACATGTATTATTCTGATAAACCTTGTTTCAGTTACACATTTGGATTGAAGAGAATAATTATTCATAACAATTTCCATGTATTTTAATGATTTTTGCATCAATCTGGAGGTGGGTTTGTGCCAAACTGTCTGCCCTTCTACAGTAAGTACCCATGTGTTCAGATGGGTCTATTCCTAGTTAAGTAGGAGACTCTCTTCATTCAGATCAGTAATGCCTACTTTTAGAAAAGCCTCAAAAATAAAAATACACAAAGTTTGGTTTAGATGAAAAGGAAGAGCATTTTTGTTTTTACCACTATTTATTTTCTGGGTAGGTTCAACTTGAAGAAAATGGAAAGCTCAAATCTGCCACATGGGGGAGACATTCACAACCTACAGATTTATGGTCTTACCTCCCAAAAGAAGCTCTTTCAGCTTTTCAGCTCTTTAAAATGAAGCACATATGTCAAAAGTGTGAACTACCATACCATATTTGTGATGAAACTGACAGACTATTGGTTGTGAATTGTCTTTAATTTATGACACCCTCATTAGCAGAACTGTCCCGTGGTCTAACAGTATACAGTATTTGAGGCTCCATAAGGTCAAAATCAGTGCAATGCACGTGAATTCAAGAGGAAGACTCTTAGGTCAGCAGCGATAATAGCTGTGTTTACCTACAGTAGATTGATTCTGAATAGTCCAGGATTAGTGGTTATTTGGGTTAATTCAACTACAGATAGAAAATGTGAAGGAGGTCTCTTACACATATTTGTGTGTAAGAAAACAAAAAGGGCTTTTGTTTTCAATAATATCGATCTAAGTTTATTTTTTCAACTTTTTATTCTACATGTATCGCACATAAAAATACTCTCTTATTAAATAAATACAATAATAACATCTCCCAAGATTAATGAGTACAATGCAATAAGAACTGGTGAGAATATACTTAAAATATGCATTTCATGTATCTTGTTATCTACACTATAAATAAATACAGAAAAATGACAATTTTGTTTTTATTAGTACAAATAATTATTGTTGGAAATGTTCTGCCTCTTATATACACATTATCCAGTTTTTCGTCTTGGGTTAATTCACATTTATCACCAAACTATGTTTACAGCTTAATGGTAATGGCAATGAACTGTGCTTTTTATAATGCAGATAAAAATACAGATCTTTGTTAATCTTCTTTTCACCAAAATGACCACATATGTGTTGTACACAGGAGGTAGCAGAAAGATTTTGAATGAAATGAGCTTCCATTCAGAAGTAGAATGATGTTTTTTTTCTTAATTATAATTGCACAGTTAAACAATGTAGAAAAAGAACTGTATTGACCAAACCATTGAAGAGCTATTGATGTAATCTGCTTGAAACAAAACGCTGTTCAAGATTTAAAAAAAAGCAAACAGAAGCTTAAATCAATTTATAATAATTAGAATAAATTGTTGTATAAAAATCATGAGTCTCAGTCACGGAACCACTCTTGAAACTCTACAAGAATGTGAATCATGTCGTTTTACTACAAATTAGGGTAATCTTTTTAAATTATTGCAATTCCGTAATTTTGCTTTTTTTTAACATTTTGAAGAGTTAAATATGTGTTTTTTCTCTAGGATGCTTATATTTAACAAATTCTATCATGTTAATTTTATAAATAAAACTAAAGTGGCTGAAGTTCAACACATTTAAATTTCATTAAAGTCTACTGAAAAGCTTTAAAGGTCTTGAAGCTTTTAATTAAGCTTTTCAGTACCTGGGTTCGGCTGTACTATTTCTGGTTACCTTGTTCTTAAAGAATTCACTCATCTGTTTGGTTTTGTTTTCATTTTCTTTGTCAACGGGAAAGCCACAAAAGTATACACAACAGAAACAAACAAATACAGAAATAAGAGTCAGAGCAATCAATATGTTAAAGACCTGAGTGAAAGCTACAAAATTCTGTTTCAATACACGTCCAGCACTAAAGAGTATTGTTCCAGGTTCTGTTGTTGCTCTTTAAAGATAATAATACACATCTATGTTTATCTGCACATTATTGTTAAATGGCATCATTAAGTTGACTCTTCTGGCTGGGCTGGTTTCACTGGTCTCTCTTACCATGCCTTACACACAGTATTTCCAAAAACAGGCTGTGGACAAAAACAGAAGAGGAATTTCATTAGCTTCCAAAAGCACATTTCTGAAATATTATTCCAACTTTCCCCTCACCACCATCATCCAACAGGAGATTTTTCAAATCTAAAATCAAATGTTTTACAGCCCTTCATGAAAATGCTGGTTGTGTTATCAGGATTCCAGATGTCGTGTCTCCTGCTGTGGATGCTCTGAGGGACATTCTCTTTATTGGTTCTGTTTATAGTTCTGGTTGCTATGCTAACTCACAATTGATAAAAAAAAAATATGCTGCTTCTGTGAAGACCAGTATTTTTATATTTGGTGGGACTTTAGGCTAAATTAGTAAAACAGAACCACTCTGAATATTCCAATTTATTCAACAAATTCGAACATGGTATAACCAGAGGACACTCACACATAAGGAATACACATTTACTGAGCAAATACGTTAAAAACATCTACCAAATCAATGAGTACAATGGAAAAAAGTAATTTTGAAAATAAATATCATGGTTTAAATATGTGTTTAATTTATCTTCTTAGGTTTTACTTAATACAGGAAACACACATTTTTTGTTCACTGGTACAAATAATTATTGTGGGATTTTACTGACCTCTTTTGCTGGGGAAGGATACCTCCATTCCTATTGCATTAGTGTCAATGTTCTTCTGTAGTTCAAGGTCTTCTTTTAGAGATTCCAGCTGAAAAATATATATTAATTTAATTATTTGTTACCCTTAACTGAAAACTACTTAAAATTATGTGCATATTAGGATAGGATTCTAGGATTCTAGTCTCAATCTAATCTAGATCAAAATACAGGGTATAGTTTGAAAGCAACATTAATATATCTTATTAATATAGAATCAAATACCACAAGCAACATTAATTTAATCCTACTGCAGTTATATTGGATTATGAATGCTGAAATTGTTGCCATCTCTGTGTTAAGATAAAAATCTGGGTAAATAAAAATTCAAAGTGGTACATCTAATGGGTTTTGGAATTACAGTACATTATACACGAGGCTGAGCTACAGTCTATACTGTACAGTGCATGCAAATTAAATAAACTGAAACATTACAATTCAAGTGCACATGCCCTTTTAAAGCACAGTAATGCTGTTCTGCCAAATCAAATGACAGTACCTCTTCCAGTTCTGCTACTTTCTGAACCATCTCCAGATCTGCTGAAGAACCAAGAATAATGCAAAATAAACAAATAATAAATGCAAACTTTGCCTATTATTTGCAAAACGTAATTATGCAATCAAACATGCAAAAGGTAATTAGACCATCACAATAGTGAAAAAGATTGTGTTTATGTTTATTGTACATATTGTATGTACAATATTATATAGTGATTATATTGTAATTATATAGACGTGTAATTATATAGCCTGTAATTGTATCCATTCCACCTATTCCACTAGACGTTCTGTATTTTCCCACTGCAAAAATCGGCACTTCTCAGTTCCTCACCCCCTTTCTGTGCCAGACAGCACCAGCGATCTCTCAGCTCTCAACTACAGCCTTCAGTAACTCATAGACTGTATTGAATTACATTTTTTAAGTGTTTTATTTAGGAAGTTTAGAAAATTGTAACCATTTAAAACAAACATACAAACAAAACACAAACGACCCGATAATGAACAAGAAGCACAAACTTACTTGTGGGATTTTACAGTTTTCTTGTTGAGATAAGTATAAAGTCAAACTCTGACAGAATCATAAAGTGATTTGATGTATTAAAGAATAGAATTAACTAAATACAAAGCTCAGTCTTTTTGAAAATGTTCAAGAATATAGAAAAGAAAAGTATCCTCTCCATTGTTGTTGCGGAGACAATCACATTGAGGCAGCACTTCAAACAGGGTACAATGATAGATTTTCATTCAGTAAATATACTGTACTGTATATTTTTTAGTCACAACCATTCCAAACATGAGTGGTGATTGTTGTGCCTTTGTTAATGTGAACTTTGCTTTTGAATAACCAAAGATACCAAATTTGGGACATGGGGGAATATTCTGAGTACCAGTTCGACCCAGAATTAATGTAACTTCTGAGTGCTGCAAATTTTTAATTATCAGACTGGTAATGAAATGAGTATGAACACAGAATTCACACCTACAAGGTTATTATATCACTGCATATAATATCCACACAGTGTATAAAGAATTAAATGACTTACCATTAACCTCACTGTTTTCAATGGGCATCACATTTTTGTGCAACAGCAGGGCTATCATCTTGTTTTTTGTATCTGACTCTTCATTTGAGCGAAAAAGGCGATTTCCTACATATTTAAAAGATATGTGTATCAGCATACATGAACTACTGTATGCACTTTATCTTAAACCGTGCATTTTTTTGTTTTTGGTTGAATCTACAAAGAAAAAAATACTAAACACTAAAACAACACTGTTATAGAAATGTAGGAGTAATATTTCCAAATATTGACCCCCCCAGGTGCACATGAAAGAGATGGTAAACAGCTCTTCTGCCTTTCTCAACTCCACTTAGGACAAAGCAGTTGTTGATAAAGGAAATAACAGAATAATATAATATAACAGCCATTTCCTGTAAAGGATGTGCAAAAATTCAAGTGCAAAATTCAAGTGTATCTATGTTTTAAGCTGAAAAGGATGCCATTCCTTTCTATAAATACATTACAAGTTAGCATGTTAGAAGTACAATTGACTTCACTTCAAAATAGGAAAAAAGGTAAACGCTTCAAAAAACTTCATATCATAATACATTAAGTACAAACACAGAACAGTCTTACTCAGTGTGACAGTAAACATCTTAACTATAACATCTTAACAACATCAGAAGAGGTGTAATATCATACAAAACATTGTTGGTACTTATATTTGGTCTTATATTTCACTTCCATATGGTTTTTGACAGTCAATCCATGATATATCATGATCTGAGTACACAGCTGATGTTAAACTATCATGGCAATGTCATTTTGTTTAGAATGGACTGAAAATAGTATTTAGTATCTTATTAGTTTTTTGGGGGAGTTCACCAGATTCTCATTACCAAGGTTATATTAATGACAAAGAAGAACTCCATCTGAGCATGACAATTAAACCTGTTTTTTACTGTATATTCCATATCAGTGAAGTGAGTTTTTACCTGCCTTTATAATGTCCAAATGTGGATACATCAAACACAAAAATACTGGTCTTTACCCATAAAGGTTTTGTTTCAAAACTTAATACAAGAGCTGTAGTTTTTTACATTTGCAGACAAAACGATTTTTTTCTGTTAGGATACTGCAGGTCAGGTAACCCTTTTGTAATCATTGTCTGTGGAAATCACAGAGGTGTGAAGGCACGGAAGTGTTTTCAAAGGGTTTCAGAAACTGCAATAATGATATGACATGTACTGTAAGTAGGTCCTTCCACTAATCATGTAAAGTAACATGATCATGCATGAGAACATGTTTTGAAGATCTGTAACTTTGTAGAAAGTTTGCAGAGAATAAGTGAAAGGGCTTGCATGACCCACCTTGATTCCAGATGTTCCTTCCATAAACTGTCTCCGTTCCAGTAAGCAGTGGCACAGCTAGAAGCCAGAAGCAAAAATTCACTGAAAATATTCTTTCCATGATGCAAGGAGACACAACCAAGCACTGCAGCCTCACTTGACTCGTCTTGTTTCTCTTCCAACACAAGCCGTAGTTATTTATCAGGAGGCTTCAGTGGGGGTGGGGTGTGCAGAAAGGGGTATGTGCTGTAAATCAATCGCTGGATATTTCAGATTTAGTCTATCGATCTTCTTAAGGAGCGTGCAAAGCGTGACAGACATATGACAAGGCTCTTATGTCAAACCCGGAGTCAATGTATCTTCCACCAGACAGGTAAATAAATTCAGAATTTTCTCATGACGAGAGAAGAAAATATCACTCATGTGGAGGGGTATTATTTATGGTTTTGCCCACAATATTCCGTCACCATCTCTCCAATTTGTTATTAATTGGTAATCCAAAAACAAAGACAACGGGCTCAGATGGAGATAGCTATAAATTGATTATATCCTAAGTGCAGTTTGCTCAGAGATGTGCCTCTCAATCATAGGTAAAATATGAGTTTGGACTGTATTGGAAGATATTGAACATTTATCACCAGGTTAAACGCAAGTCCAGTGCGTCACTACTGTGGTAAAGTGACGGCTGCAGTATTTATTTTTAATGTTTTAGCAGATTTAACTCCTGAGAAGTTACTGTGACTTTTATGCCACTCATAAAGGTCACTGGTAACAATTTTTCTTTCCTGATGACAAAACCACATATTTGAAACTGGAATGATGTCGAACGAGTCCATACAAAAGAAAAGATCAATTCTGGTTTATATTTTCTTTTTGATTACGTGGACTTTTGAGTAGATTTCTTACCATCTTCATCTTCAAAATCATGAGCACTTAATCTATTATTACTCTTATTTTGTCTAGGTGTAATGATGATGTTGTCATAACCAATGAAATATTATATGCTACAAAAAATCAAATATATTTGACAAAATAGACAAAGTTCTTCTGAAATTAATAATTAAAACTTTGGTGTTCTCTTTTTTAAAGGAAAAAAATAAAGATTAGTTCAAAAGATTAAAACTCAAACTCAATAGACAGTATACCATAGTGCATTCTCAGAACTTTAGATATTATTTGATTTTGGTGAAATGGTATAATTATTTTATAACACTGGCATGATGATGTGTGAAACCTCTCCGTTTAATATTTTTGTCTTTTTGATTTTATTTAGATCTTTTTTGTGTTTTTGTTTTTACTATGTAAAGTGCTCCAAACACTGTTGGCAAAGATACACACTGAAATATCCTTGTAAACTTGTAACAACACTTTGGTTTAAAATACTATAATTTATTCTGTGTTATTTTCAGCTTGTGTTGTTCATATACACTTAATGACCCACACAGATAAATATTTTACACATGCCTGTCTAATCCACATAATAAGGACTTAGACTATGAAGACTGTGATATCATGATTGCAAGTTTGGGGCTTCTCTTATTGTGATAAAGTGAAATTTAGTGTAATAATCTACCAGTATTGCAAAGCATATTATCTACTTACAAAATCAACATTCAATTTCTAGGCCGAATATGGCCCATGTATTTCCTATCATTTTGGTAATGATACAATTAATCAAGAACAGTAAGTAATAAGTAATATTGTTAAAATTAGGTTTTGATGTTGATTGATTTCAACTCAATCATTTTATAATTATGTGACCATTACATTGTGGTATTTTAAGCTTTTGGTTTCCAATATTTTGATTTACCGTTTGAGAGCACGAGGCCTGATGGGTCAATAGGTTGAGAGGCCAGCAGACTGTTCATTTTTCTAACTTTAAACTGTCTTGTCATGCCCCAGCGACAGGAAACACCATTTGTTAGTTAAAATCTGTTAAGATCTTCTTTTCTAACCTCAATAAGTATTGCTAGCAATATTTGTCTCTGTCCATTAATATGTATCCTTCTAGTTAGCTAGTTTTGGGTATGAGGGATCCTAGTTTTCTCATTTTTAAGATATTAATTTTGAAGCAACAAGAACTGTAAATGCATCCCTCTAGTCTTCCCTGTCCACCCTCAAAAAATCCAGAAGTACTTACTGGACTATAACAGTTATAATAACAAGAGTCTGTCTAAATCTTTAATTTAGAGAAACACAAAAAGGCAGACAGCATATGAAGAAAGAAAATGAAGAAAGAAAGAGATATTAAGCAAAACAACATTAGCAAATCAATTGGAAACTTAAGAAGGAAAGAGGAGGGAGAATATACAGTACTGTAACTACAAGCTGCGCTTGGTGAGAAAATACAGTACAGATAGTCATGGACTATAGGTGAGGCTGGGGGCGGGCGCTGTATGTGTGACAGACCCAGGAGCTCGGGCATCAAGTCCAGGGGCGGAGGCCGGCTCACTGCACTCCGGGCCCAGGCTGCATGCTGGACTCGCCCGTGATCAGGCTGGCAGACTGGAGGACTGGAACACAGGGAAGGGAAGTGCAGGGAAGTTTAGAACAGGACGTGGAAGACCCATCAGGGATCGGAGCTGTGCTTCTTCCAGAGGGCAGCACGTGGAAGAGGGATTCGACCTCCAAGTCCGGGCAAGATACTCCACATTAGGGAGGACACCAAGAGTGGGCTCCTGGAAAAGTGCCTGGATCCAATCAGGCCGGACTTCAACTGGACCAGGCTGAAGGAGTGTCACCCTCTGGTCCCCTCTCAGCACCACTTATGATGGGAATGGATCCATCGGTGTCATAAGATCTTAATCAGGAAAATGCCTGAGAAATGGATCAATCTTGGCGCAAGACCAAATCACACTGGAGAAAGTATCAGGCATCTGCCTACACCTTTCACAGGCCAGGTCCACATCTGGATTCATTCTGGTTAATTCCCCTTCAGAACAATGGAAGTGGTGAAGAAATGCTTAAGATGGGTGTATCTGCACCAAGATGTCTTCCAAAATTACACCCACAATGCCAATGCCCAGATCCTGATCCTACAGATGTTTCAAATACATTATTGAAGAAAAATGTCATGCTTTCCAGAGAGCAGAAACAGAGCAGAAGCAGTTTTCTGAACCATTTTGTGATTATACCCATTCTACCTTCTTTTAACAAATTCAATAATCAGTCTAAACCGGTTTCCTTCAAGATTTTGATCCGATAATTAAGTCTACTCACAGAGCACGTCCCAGCGTATGGCTATTTCTTCCTTCAACCACCAGGGGGAGATGCTGACTCTGTTAACTGCCACATAAGAGCTCTTCTATATTTAAGCTGTTCATTCAGAACAGTGTTCAGACTCCTCAATTAAAACAAAAATTGTGGTAATTTTACTAATTAAAAATATTATTTAAAGGATAAGTGAGTTATAAACGTTTTAGAAAAGTATTCCTTAATCACTGATTATCTGTATTCGAATCTGTATTCGTATAAAACTTATTATAGCACTGATTATTGATGTTATGTACAGTATGTATGTTTATATAGTTCACAAAATTATTATTTTCTCCCTATGAAATGCCACAATGCAGTGTCTGGAAATGTTAAGACAGTATGTCATGTGCAGCAGCTTGATGATACACAGCCTGACAAAATGGATATCTATGAGATTTATGAAGCCTTGCAGAAACCTGTATCTGACAGGCCATTCTATAATCAGGTGTCAAATCAAAACAAAGGAATCTGTCCATTAGTAACCTGTAAAATCATTGCACCTGTGCCAGAACGTCCTATCTCTTCTTGCTTTAATGGGATTCGATCAGATGTCGTTTCAATTCTGCTGTTATATGTCAATCCAAAAAAATAAACAAAAAATTGGCATACATGCACGCATCTCAGCATACAGCAAAAAGCTTTCTGGATCCACAGACATGGAAACTGCTAATCAATACATATCTACAAATGCTCATCAGCCAACCCCAAGACAACATGTTTCAGATACAATCTATCACAGTTCCTTTTTAATGGTTTTAAGCTTTTCTGAATAATGTGGTATTTTTTTGTATTTCTTTACTGTCATTGCCAGCACTGTTCTATTCTATGGTTCTCACTTTGTTTTTATCACCCCTTTGAACAACATAATATATGTGGTATTGTAAAAGTAAAATAGACACAGGGAGACAGTTTTAGAACTGTTCATATGAACGGAGTCAGAATAGTAATTATGGGAGCCATCACTATCTTCCCAAATGAAACCCCTCAATCAGGTTCTTAAAAGAGTACAGAAAATTGCTGATCCTGTTATTGTAAAAAAAATCATGGGGGCTCCAATCTTGCTGCTGGTGAGCCCTCTCCACTGGTGTCATAGGAAACCATTAACTCACCAATTTCTAAAGAAGACTTGGAAGAATTTCATTGTAATCAATTAAGCAAGAGATTTGTTGAATGAAGTAATTTAGAGATAAATTCAAATACAAATCTGACTCTCCTTCATGGAAATGGAAATGAAATGGCCTCAAAGGCTAGAGTTCCTTTCACTTAAATAACTAATTTGCTCATTTGATCAATACTTACAAGTGCTATTACACTTTAAAAAACAGGAGGGTTTCGACAACCTGCTATTTAAGACTAACTGGACTGAGGCTTTCCTGGGCGTCACCCTCACAGCTTCAAGTACTGAGCATTTTGTTTATTTCCCTAATTACTTCATGGGGAAACTTAATGTTCATTTATTAGGGAAATGACAACAGAGTAGATCATGTTGGCATAAAACCTTGCTGCCTATTCACAAGACAACCACCATCTTGTTGCGGAGTCAATTCCAGGAAACCAAAGAACAAACCTTTCATTGAATTTGTTTTGGGAAAGTCTTTTCTGTTAAAAAGTCTAGAATACATTAAGCGTATAAAGCTTTTGTGAAAATAGTAAGTGGAAGAGCTAAAGCAGTATTCAATTCTGCCTTCATGCACAATGTGTATAACACTCTACTCGGCCTCTTGCCTAGTGGTTCATGGAACAGCCCTTAAGCTAGTAGTTACAAATATTTGGTAAACCATTTTGTATGACTGCGGGAAACAAAAACCACATGACATATAAATGACAGATATTGATGTTTTGGTTTGCTTTTTTTTGCTGGAACAGCAGCAGGGGACTATAATAATGTTTTGAGATGAAAAAGAATTTCACGAACTGGGGTATGTTAACCCCTGGTTGGTGTCCTTTCTTAAAAGGGGGAAAACGAACTGAAGACAGGAAATGGATAATAAAGTTTGGCTCAGAGCCTACATTAAGGCTGAAATCAGTAACAGAAGTCAAATACTGAAACTATTGCTAGTTTTCCATTGCTGTTTGGAGTCAGTCAGTTCTTGCTTTGGTTAATTCGTTAAGAGTATTTATTTGACCTGAAAGTCTGCCCGACTAATACTTCTTAAGAGATTCACAGGTTTGAATTGCAGTTCTGATTACTTTAATCTTCATTCAGGTACAGCAAGGCGCTAGATTTTATATCCTATTTTATCACTTTGCCACCTTGGATTACATCCCTGTTGGGTGAAAATGGGCATGGGATCATGAATATACCCAGTATGGACAGAACCTCATTGAATTCATTCATTCCAAAGATTGCACCATGCACTATAAAGGGCCATTTTCAGGAGCCTCTGGTTGGGATAGACACCATGGTCCACGAGCACCATGCATCCTGACTTTTTTTTTACATCACGTCATGTGTAAAATTCCTCGCATTGGATTCCACCACTGCACCCACATGTTAGAGGTTTTTGACTCTGCCCAGCCAGAGATCCAATAAGAGCCTGGGATGAACTGGCAATCTCAAGGCCTAAGGAGCTCTCCATCTGTTATCAGATGTTGCCAGCGGAGTTACTGATTGGGGTATTCCTCTGTTTTGTGCTAGAAAACGCAGAAATGGGTTTAGATAGCAAACATGCAGACATACACAACCACAAACACACTTCTCTTCTCTTTTGTGTGCAACACCAGGTTTAACTGAAGGAAAGTCAGCAACACATATCTAATATTCAAGCACTTGAAAATTAGATCAAAGAGGTAGAAAGATTAAGAGGTGTGAGTGTGGATCTGCATGAGGTGAAGGAACACGTAATGGTTTATCTCGCACTGAAAAGGTGGAAAATCAAGGAATTACTTGTGCAAAATAGTTTTGTGTAAACTAAAAAAGCAACCTGCTGAAGATATGAATATTATTTTTTAAAATAGATTCTACATAACAGTTTGAATCAGAATTTGTATTTCCGAAGAAGGCCCTGCAGTTCACAATGAAAGCACATCCTCTTGATGAGTGGGACTGCACAGTATTTATCGTACCTGTTACGGCATTTCTATACATGATCTAAAGCGCAAAGTAAAAAATGTACAAAAATGTCCAAATTAAACTAATGTTAGTTTGATTAAACTACATATTTAAAAACCATTTTCCTAGAAAGCACACAGTTTTAGAGAACAACAAAATTCATCACATGAAAGAGAGAAGTAGAGGTGGTGATTTGTGATCAAAGCCAAAACATCAGCCAGATGAGTTAGCTTTGAGACCTTCCCAGTTCCGTTCGAGTACCGTGCTTGTCCCCCCCGGCTCTCCGTAGCTAAATTTCAGCGTTTTCCTCATTGTGTTAACATTGCATCAAATGCACGTCTGCATAGAGGGAGAGAAACCGAGAAATTAGCTTGCCAACCATTGAGTTGGGCGACAGAGCAAATCAAAGAAGCGCCTGTGTTCACAGCGTAAATCGGACACCTGCCAGAAAAAACTATCAATCTGTCTTGTGACGCTGGGAGATCGAATTTCACGACGCAAGATAAACAGCTACTACAATATTATCAGCAACATGGCAGATTTTACTAGTATTGATCAGAATAAACTACCCGGAGTGAAGGAAGGTAGGTTTTATGTTTATGCTTTATATTTTTGCTGTCTGCCGTTAAGACCATAGCTAACAGAGATTCATTTTATAGCATTTTGAATTCTGGAAACAGGTGTTCCCTCATTTCCAGTGCGTGTGCTAAAGGACACTTAAGTGTATCGTCAGTATCGCCCTTTCATTTTTAAGATATGCAGTTTCCTTGTTTAGGTGGTGCCGCATATATTTAATAAGAATCCGATAGTACAGTGGTGCCGTTTTTATTTCACGAAATCCTCTGATATATGCGAGTTTCCCGTTGTACTGCCTTGTCCATTTTGTGTATGTACAGTGTATGATGAGCTGCTGAGTATGTATGTGGGTTGGTGGAGAGGGGTGCTGCTATTTTGTATTTCTTTTTTTCGCATTGAGTTATTAACATCTGGGGACAATTTCTGAGCAGCCGCGTGTTAATTTGATTCACATGCATTAATTTATGAATTGTCTTTTCCTAATATGGTTGTAGTAACTAAAACATCTGGTCGTGTGTGAAAACAATGGGCTCTGGTCGCCCATCTGCCAGTGGCTCGGTTGATCGTCTCGTTTGTCTCGTCTTGGATAGCCCCAGAAGCCAACAAGCTCAGATTTACTGTTGCCTGCCTGCCTGTCTTAAAATGAGCTAAGATGGTCATAAAAAACACGCACGTTTAATAAACCCCAAGGCCCTCTCTCTTTGATTAGTATACTGTATGTGTAAAAGGTACTTTCTGCTTTGTTCTCTTCCTTTGAAGGCGATGGATTGAAGGAAGTTGTAAGATGTACAGTAGATACTGTACATAATGTTCACTTAAGTGAACAATTTATTTGTAGATTGTGAACTGCCCTTTTAAAATCTGGAGCAAGCCGTGAAAAACGCGAAACTTAACTGCATTTATATATGTGATGCATCGGTGATAGAGTCCCATTACTTGATGCGGGATTTTTCTCCCGCATTGCCCAGCTGCGTTTGAGTCACCTGTTTGTTATAATATGCGGTCGCGATTTGGGGCACCGCCAATTGTATGGCTGGCTATTGACCAAATAAACTACACTTGTTATTGAGATTAATGTCGTAACTGCAGTCGTCGATAAACAGTCGATCTCCTTTAAATTCTAATGTACCTGTGAAATCCAGCAGTTCAGTGGTATTTTAAAGCAGACTTTATTAATCAGGATCACAGCATACTCTGTTAATTATTCTCACTTAATGATGGCCTTGTGGTAAGACAGAGGTGACTTTTCTAAATGCATGTTGATTATTCCCTAGTATCTGACTTCCATGTACAGTATGTGCTCCTCTAATTCAGTTCGAATAATTGCTTCCATAACCTTACTTGTAATAGAAGTCAACTTATTGGTCTATAATTACTTGGTTTAGATCTCTCACCCTTTTTATTGATGGTTACATGACTGAACAGAGTAATGGGTTCAGTAGCTTTGATAGGGTCGATAATGTTGTTTAACTGATAGTGAAAATTGTGATGAGTGTTTGTGAAACTCAAATATACCTTTGGCTCATAAACTCTGGAATGCCTTTAGAACATTTTTATTTCCAAACACCATATTTGTGAGGGATTCACAACCTCTGTTGCTCACTCAATTCAAATGTATTGGATTGTTCAATTTCATGTTAAATTATGTAAAGGAGAACTCAGCTGGATAAAATATCGGCAGGTCTATGAGTGTATTATGAGACAAGACATGCATTAATTTTTGTTTCTTAAAATAAATTTGTACAACATATTTTATCGTTAACATTAAGGCAGTATTTTTTTTTCATTCTAGCCTCTCTGTTACAGAGAATGAATGCATAACCGAACAGACAAATATATTTGCCTGACTTGGTCAGTCTCTGAAATGTCTATTGCTGTTCATTTTGCGATGATATTCAGCTGTCTGGAAAAAACATGGCTGAGAAAGCAGCAAAACCGAAAAGTAGAAAGTGTCTAGTTTCCAAAGGCACTTTTTAATAAGGAGCCAACTGAATCTCTTGACTTCCTGTCTCAACAAAATTTGTACGACTGATCAGAGCAGCACTGTTCGGCAATTCTAGTACGTGTCTTTACCACAAATACATAACAGATTGAATGGATAACTAGACGCCTGTTTGCTAATACAGCCTTTCATACTAATTTTCATACTACTCGAGGTGGTAGTGAGATAATGGCAGTGGCATCAGAGTTTATTTTAATGGAAGAGTAACCTGTCTGTTCTTTTTCTGTATGAATGTGTTGCACAAATACCATTGTTACACATTATATGGGTGATTTATGACGCACATATTATGGGCTATGAAAAGTAACATATAACATTATTGGGAACCTAAAAGGGACTATATAATTATCTTTTGGAAACGCATAAATAGGCTAAATAATAATAATAATAATAATAATGTAATGTTTCTTCATAGCCCTATACAATTTCTTGCATTAGGAATTCGTCTTTTCGCATACCCCAGCTTTTTTTTCTCCAAGGAGAGACAGACAGGGAGAGAAGCTTGGGGTCAGAGCACAGGGTCTGCCATTGTACGGCGCCCCTGGAGCAGTTGGGGTGAAGGGCCTTGTTCAGGGGCCCAACGGAGTAGGATTGCTCTGCCGGCCGCGGGATTTGAACCGGCAACCTTCCAGTCACAGGCGCAGATCCTTAGCCAATATACTTTTTAAGAAAGCCATTGAGGTCTTGCTACCAATTTAATTACCTAAAAGGAGTAAGAGGGAAGGGGAAACTTCACCTAGAAGGAATGACCAAGGTTTGGAAATAATAGTGACTCAAAACCAAGAGGTGTTGGAAATCACCCAAGAGGGAGTGATTGCATGTGTTATGTTAGAGTGAGACTGTATAAAAGAGAGCCTCTGAGTTGGGACAGGCAGTTGCTCCATGGACCAACTAGGCCTGTTACTTTTGTAATAAAGTCTATCCTGAACTCACAAGCTCCGGTGTCTGGAAATTATCTTTGAGAATAAACCACGACAATTACTGTTAACAGTATCGTTTGCCCTCTCCTTTTAAAATCTGAACTGAAGACATCTTTTGTTTACCCCTGCCAACATTTTATATGGCTTTGTAGTTCGTTTTAATACCTCCAAAAATAAACACATTAGATAAAAAGCACACAGACAACAGTGTTCACTAGACTTTCTGGCATCTGTGATATCTACTTCCCAATTACCACATATCCATTTAATGCATTTTGAAGTGATACTTGATTGTAAACCAATACTTTTCCTATTCTTAAATGAATGGGTAGCTTTGGGAAACTAGTGGTTTGCATGCCTGACCTTGTATGACTCCATTATTGGGTCAGATATGTCACTCCTTCAATGCTTCACATGTAAGCCAGCCACGTCTTTAGGCTTTCTTCTGTGGTGGGGAGGCAGGGTTAAAGGCATCTGTATGGTTTTTTGGTCGGTATGAGAACAGTGACAGCCTGTGCAATGATACTGAAGCCTTTCACATCAGTCACATCAGAGCACCCTAGCTGTCATACAAGTATAGGGATTCAGAACTTGTCAACACATGGCTATCAGAATTACATAAAATGCAGAAGTTCATCAGTCTCACTGGAATTTTACCCACTCTTCTGTTTTTCTGAAGATGCTGTCTCACCTACAATTGAAGATATTTAAATACAATAGCAAATCTGTGATTTCATGTTTTGGTTGCATGTATAGGTTGTTTAGTTCCTATCAGACTGTATAGCACAGCTACTCAGATCAGATATGCTGCTTAACCAAGACAAGAACTGGTGGGCATAAAGGCCTATGGGGGAATGGGAGGCAAGGGCCACAATTTTCTCAACCCTCCAACACTGGAAGTGGAGGTGATGTGGTCAGCATCACACTCCAGCTGGCCTATTACCCCCGGAAGGATTAACCCACGGTACTCATTTGGAAAACAGGCTGAGTGGACCTGGGAGCCATCTAGAAGGAATTAGAGTAAGCTACACCGCTTGCCCCTACCTGGGATTGAACCGGGACCTTCCAGTCAGGAGCTACAGTAGATGCCCTTGCTGTCTGAGGTACCACGGCTCCCAGGGCAAGACCTGCCAATGTCATTTGTCTGATGCAATCTTGACTCCATTCAGCACACCAGAAGCTGCTGAATAATATTACTGTAACCCACATGCTTGGATTTCTCCTTGTCTGCCCCATTGCCATATTCAGAGAGGATTAACGAGTGGAATAACAGAGGTGTCTACAAAAGGATGTTTTCTCACCACAAAGTTACGTTTTGTTTTTCCACATTCTGGGCGTATGAAGTGTAAGATTTAAAAAAAAGGGGGAATCCCGCTGTATATTGCTTACAAACCATCCTTCTTTGTGTTACCCATTGCATTGGTGTTGTGTCACTGGTTTTCAATATCGGGTTTAGTTTGCGCTTTTTGAGCTTTTCATTGTACTGTGGTGGTTGTATGCAATAACTTTTAACTTTTTGAAGTGAGCAAGTCTCCTCTGTAGTTGGCAACATTTATTTGTCGATATTCTGTGATCAAAGCAGGTTATGATTAAGCTGTTACTAAACCACCAGGTGAATATTGAACTGCAAAAGACGGAGCTGGAGAGTATTTATATAACATTATGTGAGTTTGCTCTCCACTGTAATGTGACATTATTGCAAAAAAAAAAAGCTTCCTTAAATCATGTCTAAACATATCCAGCACGGAGCCAAATGTGTTATAGATCAACACCCACCCCTCCACCAGTGAGACCTAGAGATTATGATGTAGACCTATTTTATATTTTTTTTATTACTGTTCAGTAGTTTTCTGTGAAATGAAATACTGGATGTCATCAGTTCTGAGCTGCCAGTGCTTCTGTGGCCCTGGCAGGTATGATACCTGCTGAAACAGAGAAGCCAGTGGCTTGTGAAATTTACACAATTACCTGTTAGGCTGCTGTTTCTCAATTACATGGGTCAGTAGCGATGCTAAGTATCTCTTTTCATAGCCTGTTAGCATTACTATTCATTGGATTTCCATGTTCTAATAGCAGCTACATGAAG